CTGTCCCCCAGCAGTGACCACAGGGGCCTCTGGCTGGGCTTGGGGAGGCTGGGGCAGGCAGTGACCTCTTGCCTTCTGCAGAGGATGGTGGTCCTGTGGAGCACAGGTGAGGAGACGTTGCGTGTACTGGCCTTCCTGGTCCTCGTCAAGGTCTGCCGGCACAGGAAGGACGTCTTCCTGAGTCCTGTCCTCAAGGTAGTGCTCAGGCCCGGAGCTCCTGCCGCTGGTGCCCCCGAGTCTGTGTCCATCGGGGTCTGGGCTGAAAGTCTTGGCCTGAGGGCTGGAGAGCTGCCTTTGTGGTTGGTGCCCTCTGTTGGCACTGTGGCTCTGGGCTGACCCCCACTGTCATCACAGTTCCCTCCCTGAGAAGTTGGGGACAGTGACAGGGATGGGAGCTCTTGGCCCCCTGGGGCTCCACATGGACTACTCTGCACAGCTCTCTCCCTCAGTGGATGAGGACATCAGGTGTGGAGAGGGACGGGGACCCCACTGTCCGGCTGCAAGCTTGGGGTGGCCTTTCCCACATGGAGTCCCCTCTAGAAACCTCTGCATAGGCCTGGCACATAGCTGGGGCTTTTCTGCCTCCCTCCTTCCCAGTCCCTCCATGGTGTCCTTGCCTCTTCCTGCAGTTACTCATGCTGCAGCTTCCTTGGCACTCCACTCTACCTACAGGACCCCTCCTCCTGGCACTGCAAACTTTGTGTGGGATTGGTGGGTGTGTACGTGTGGAGGCTGAGCAGCAGCAGGGGGCCCAAGAGCAGGTGCCGTGCAGGGAGAGGGGTCTGCAGCAGACGTGGCCAGACTGTGGTTCCCGCCAAGGCAGCAGCTGTAAGGGAGCTGGGTGGTGGGTACCTAGGACCCTAGGAGCTCAGGTGGCTCTGACTGGGGTCTTCCTGGCAGCAAATGTACATCACGTATGTGAGGAACTGCAAGTTCACCTCTCCCAGCACCCTGCCCTTCATCAGCTTCATGCAGCGGACCCTGACCGAGCTGCTTGCCCTGGACACTGGCATCGCCTACCAGCACGCCTTCCTCTACATCCGCCAGCTCGCCATCCACCTGCGCAATGCCATGACCACACGCAAGAAGGTGTGTGGTTGTGCTTGTGGGGTGGGGGATGGCCCCAGCCTAACCCGGCTGAGGGCCTGGGGCCTCCTGGAAGCCTCATTCTCTTGGGAGAGATAGCCCAGCATCTTGGTGGGATCAGGGTCCTTGCTGGGGGGCTTTGGGAATAGGTGGCAGGTGGAGGGGGGAGGTTGGGTAGGTGGGCACAGTGCTGCTGCTGGCTGGGATCCTGTGCACGTGGTGGGTGAGGAAGAGCTGGGCCGTCCAGGGGCCCCGCGCTGACCTGGAGATGGACTTCGCTCTGCCCAGGAGACCTACCAGTCGGTGTACAACTGGCAGTTCGTGCATTGCCTGGACTTGTGGTGCCGTGTGCTCAGCGCTGTCCGCCCCAGTGAAGCCCTCCAGCCCCTGATCTACCCCCTCTCCCAGGTGGTAATCGGCTGCATCAAGTGAGTCGGGTGGGCAGGGTCGCCCTGAGGGCCGAGGGAGGCCGGGGTCACGTGGGCTGTTGTGGGGGTCAGGGCCAGGGCCACACAGGGAGGCATCCTGTGGGGCCAGGGAGGAGCTGCTTCTCCAGGAGGGTCTGGGCCATCCCTGGACCCTGGGGTCTGTTACTTGGCAGCGCCTGAGGAGGGACTGGGGGTGGTGCTGTCTGTGGCCCAGTGTCCCAGACTCGTGCGTTCTGGGTGATGCTGGGTAGAAAGGGCCACGTGCAGCTGGAGGGAATTGGTTCTTGGACAGAGCAGGGCTGTGTGGTATGCCACACGTCAGTTGTGATTCCTGAGCCTTGGTCTGTGGGGGTGGAGGAGCTGCATGTGGGCGGCGGCTGCCGTTGTTGGCCAGGAGGGGTCGCCCCTGAGCTCCTGAAGGGGGAGCCTTTTAAAGCATGGAGTAAGGAAGAAAGGAAGCCTTGAGTGAACCATCTCCCTTTGCCGCCCTCCTGCATTGAGATGAAATTAAGTCAAAAGTTATTTGGGGTGTTCCCTCACCCTGACAATTGAGTCATGGGCAGCCAGGCCAGGAGGGTGGTTTGTGGGGTCTGTGAGGCTAAGGCCTCTGCTCACCCTTGCTTTCCCATGCTCCCAGGCTGGTCCCCACTGCCCGTTTCTACCCCCTGCGCATGCACTGTGTACGTGCTCTGACGCTGCTCTCGGAGAGTACTGGCGTCTTCATCCCAGTGCTGCCCTTCGTGCTGGAGGTGAGAGGGTACCCGCCGCCGGGGTGGGGTGGGGTGGTCCAGTGTCTCCGTGCTGTCCTCGGAGGCCCTTCTTGCCGTATGTGGACCGTGTGTTCTGAGATAACGGTACTTCCCGAGTGCTGGTTTTCTCATTTGTAGAGCAGGTTCTGGGAGGGCATCGCTCTGTGCAGTGCCTTGCCACCCGCCCAAGCTGGTGGTGTGTGTTGGTGGGCTAGAGTGGCAGTGAGGACACGGACAGCTGCCCTGCAGGGCTGGCCTGAGGCGGCTGGTTTTAGGACACACTTGGGTCTGGCCGGTCTATTACAGTGACCAGGAGAGCTGGGCCGGAAGCCTAGGTCTGATTCCAAAGCTGCATTCTTTTTCCTGCACACTCCTGTGTGCATTTGTGTGTATGTGCACATCTGTATGTATACACGTGCATATGGGTGCTTGCACGCCTGCACATGCGTGTAGCTCAGGTGGGGAAAGGTTGTTCGACTACAGCCCAGAAACCCACTAGGGGTTAGGCCCCAACCCACCGTATACTTAGGACTTCACATCTCCCTATTAGAGAGCCTTAGTGCCACCCACCACTAGATGGGCTGGATGAGTGTCACAGGGCTGTGCTCTGTATCTCCTACCAAGTAGGAGAGAGAAGGGAGCCCCTGGAGGGTTCCTATTCTGATTTCTTCTAATTTAGCACAGCTCTCATACTGACTGACCCCTGCCTCAGCTCTGCTTGGCATGTTCCTTCACACCCAGGGGTGCAGGTCTCTCCTTCCCAGAGAAAACAAGTCAGGAGGCAGTTTCTGCCCTGCCCTTCCTGGGTGGGTGGGAAGAGGTATTGAGAGCAGCGACCCTTCCCCCCTTCCCCCCAAGCCCAGGCTGAGCCAGGTTTGAGAAAGGGCAATGTTCCCTTAGGGAAACAGTTTGTTATACCACAGTTGTGGGTGATTTTCATCTGGAGTTGTGTTGAGCTCAGCTGGGAACCATCATTCCCAGCTCTGGTATCTTCGGTGTTGGCCACCCGTCCCCTTCAGAACAACATCCTGGATCACCTCTGTGCAAGGGTGGTGAGGAGGGGCCACGCTTGGCTCCCACTCTGCTGCCCCCAGGGCACCCTGCAGCCTTCAGCCTTCGGACCTAGGGGTGGGCTTCTCCAAGAGGCAGAGGCCGATGTACGCAGCCTGTGGTCTCCGTGGAGGATGAGGGAGTGGTTGCTCCCCAGGCCCTCGTCGGAGATCCTCCCAGGGATGCAGCCCTGGGGTTAGCACCGGTCCTCAGGGGTGCAGTCAAGGGTGAGGACGTTGCAGTGACGGTGGCTGTGTAAAGGAAGGACGTTTCTTTGGTTTTAGGAGGGAGTCAGTAGCATGTATGTGCTCCTGGTCCTACTCCCATCGGCCAGATCCCCACTCTAGGATGAAGTGATTCCCTTTGAGGCCAGAGCTCTGCAAGGCAGGGGGGTCTGTGGGGCCACAGGACTGGCACTGCATGTGGCTGCTTGTCCCTGGTTCCCAAGTGGGTCTCTAAGGACCCAGGGTATGGCTAGAGTGGGTGGTACAGTGAGGCATGAGGCACAGCAGGCCAGGCTGATGTGGTCTTGGGACAGGTTTTCCAGCAGGTTGACTTCAACAAGAGGCCGGGGCGCATGAGCTCCAAGCCCATCAACTTCACCGTGATCCTGAAGCTGTCCAAAGTCAACCTGCAGGAGAAGGCGTACCGGGTGAGGCTGGTCTCAGGCCTCCTGTGGAGGGGTTTGGGGAGATGCCTTGGGTGGGGGTCACAGCCGGACGTCATAGCGTACTGAGGTCAGTGTGTAGGGTGACAGGAGTCAGATGAGTGTGGACAGGAGGGGGCCCGCTGCCCTCCAGAGTTTATGTGGACCTTCATGGGTCTTTTGGGGTGGCGGGGGGAGCAGTGTTCCTTGGCCTCAGCTACACTGAGTGTGAGTGTGGCTTCTGGGGAGGCTGTGGAGTCACATCCTCCGATTTCCACCCTGGAAAGTGAGCGGACACATTGGACCGCTCTGGAGAAGGGCTGAGCTCCCATCTTCCCACCCCTGACATTCTCCTTTCTTCCCTGCTGCCTCAGGATGGCCTGGTGGAGCAGCTGTATGACCTCATCCTGGAATACCTGCACAGCCAGGCCCACAGCATTGCGTTCCCTGAACTGGCGCTGCCCGCCGTCCTGCAGGTGTGTACCCGCTGTCTGGCTCCCCCTTCCCTTCCCTTCGCAGATCCCTCAATGGCCTGCCATATAGCAGACGAAGCTGTCTTAATGGGCTCAGCTCCCCATTTATGTAGTGACTAGAGGGAGGCATCCTTGTCACAGCCACACAGGCCCAGTAGCAGAACCTAACCTCTGTCAGAGGTCCATCTGCTTTCAGCCCAGATGTTTCCCATGTCAAGGAGGCAGGTGCCTCTCATGGGAAGGGCCAGGTGGCACTGCCTGTCCCTGTCTGGCCCTGGTGGGCAGAAGCAGCCCCACACAGTCGCAGGCCTGCTTGGTGAGTAGGGGTGGGCTGCTCGGACCAGAACTGGACTGGCTCAGAGGCCCATCCAGGGACAGGTGTGGCCGTGTATGCAGGGCTTTATTTCTGGACTCCAGGTCCCGGGGATCGTAGTATGGAACAGGGCTTAGCAGACTGTTCTGGTAGCATCAGAGGGTAAGAACTCCAGATTTTACAGTCATGTGGTTTCGTACAGCTTTCAGGTCTTCGAGCCGATGTACAAAAAACCCACAGAAAGGCATACGTGAATGAGTGTGGACATGTACCAATACAACTTTATTTACAGAGACAGGCTGAGGGTGGGATTTGATCTGGAGGATAGATCCATGCTGCCCCACTGCGGCCTCCATGCCTCTGCCTGGCCTATGGGATGGGCCATCTGCTCTCCAGCCCCCGTAGGCCCCGGCAGCAGCGGTCATGCAGCGCCCCCTTCCCCACAGTCTGGTGTGTGCACTTGGGCCCCACTCCCCAGCTGTGTGCACTAGGGCTCCCCAGGGCCAGACTTGTGCACTTGGGCTGTGAGACACATGAACCCATGTTCCCTGCTCCCCCACCACCTCCCTGTGGTCATGTGTGACCCAGACAGATTGTGGGGTGCAGAGCAGGCCTGCGTCTGGACCCTGACTGAGCCGCTCTTCCTTCTGCAGCTGAAGTCCTTCCTCCGGGAATGCAAGGTGGCCAACTACTGCCGGCAGCTGCAGCAGCTGCTGGAGAAGGTGCAGGAGAATGCAGGGTACATCTGCAGCCGCCGCCAGGGGGCCTCCTTTGGTGTGGCCGAGCAGCACGCGGTGGTCAGTTGGGAGCCCGGGAGGGTGGCTGGGCAGGTGGCACTGCCTGAGCGTACTAGTCAGTGCAGGGCTGGGCTTTGGAGGTTTGCCCAGGATGGGACATGATCCTGGACCTCTCCCCACAGGATGCCTGGGAGAAGCAGACCCGAGAGGAAGGGACCCCTCTCAGCAAGTACTACAGCCAGTGGCGGAAGCTGAGGGAGCGAGAGATCCAGCTGGAGATCAGTGGCAAAGAGCGTGTATGTCTGCAGGGGACGTTTGCTGGGGGGCGGGTAGGGGGGGATATGGGCAGGCATGACCACCTGGTTTGTTCTGAGACAAGGGTCCAGCTCCCTGGCTGTGACTTTAAGATCAGAGTGGGGAAGGGGGCTTGTGGGAGGGGACAGTCCCAGGGACAACGTCAGCAGGATGGCTGGGGCCTGTTCGCAGCTGCAGCCTGTCCTGTGGCCGCTCTGAAGGGGCAGACGTCATGCAAAACTGGGTAATCAGGGCTTCTCTTACGACCTTCAGGAGTCCCTGGAGGCCAGACTGGCTGGGGATTTTGGAGGAGGGAGTGGCTAGACTGACCTTGGACACCAGAGGATCGGCAGGAGGCACAGGAGGGGCTATGCTCTGAGTCTGGGCCTGGCCAGTGGGTGTGGGATGGTGTGACTTGAGGGCACATGCTAAGTGGCATGCCTCTGTCTGTGTCCTTGGGCTCATGTCGTCATGGGTCTGCTGTCGTTTCTGGGATTGATGGTTGAAGGTTGGAGACAGAGAGGTGAGGGGCTGCAGCTGGGCCTCCAGCCAGTGGGTGTGATTCTACCTTTGATGGCACTTGGTGGCCAGTGTGTGGCTGGGGCCTCCTCACCTGCCTGGCAGGGCGGCTGTCCAGGAGTCCTCTCCAGTGATGCTGACCAAGAGTTGGCTAGAAAAAGTGGCCAAGCAGAGTTGGTGTGGAAGACTGGTTGGGAGGTGAAGCTTGAAGGGCAACGGAGGAGGGAATGGGGCACTGGGTTTGGATAAAGCCTGTCTTTGGGAATGTGAGGGAGAGGGAGACAGTGACTGTGGTCAGGGTTCTTGTTATGTGACGCACGATGTGACCTCGCTGTGGCTGTGGGCTAAGCCTTTAGGTGGAGGGTGGGGCCCAGGGCTGAGACAGGGCAGGTTGGGGACCAGGCCTCGGTGGGCTCTCAGAGCCACCTGACCACCCTCACCTCCTGCTCTGATTCCGGGTCCTTCCAGCTGGAAGATTTGAACTTGCCAGAGATAAAGCGGCGGAAGGTAGGAGACAAGAATGAAGACAGAGTGGAATTTAAAGATCTCTTTGACCTGGACAGTGATGAGGAAGATAGTACCATGGACTTCTCAGAGAGAGGTAGGGGCCTGAGCTCCCTGCGGGGAAGGGGAAGGTGGACCTGGAAGGCTTCCTCAGACACCTCATGGAACCAGAAGGGGGTGCCGGCTCCCACCTTACCGCTCATGTTTGCTGGGGCCCTTCTCCCACCACTCTGCTTGCTCTGAGGTGAGGGCCTCCTGGAATTGGAACACATGTCCCCAGACCTTGTTCCCTCGCTCCCACTCCTTGCTGGGCACTTGGGAGCCCTCTCCACCTGCCCCAAGGGGGCCTGAGGGAAAGGTGGGTGGGTGTGGGGTTGTGAGCCTGGCCCACCTTCCTGCATTAGCTTCCCCCAGTGTGCATTTGCTGGCAGGCCCACTCCCATGGGCTCTTCTCCTTGGTCCCCAGGGATGCCTGGGTCCCCAAGAGCTTGGCAGAGGGTAGAGGAGGAGGAGGAGGAGGAGGATGGCAGCCAGGAAGAAGTCGGCAGTTCAAAAGGTAAGTGGTTCCTGGGGGTGAGGGGTAGTGCTGTGGCCCTTTGAGCCTATCTGTCCAGGAGCCCAAGGCTGTCATGGGCGTGGGTGCATGGGCAGGCAGGGCCATCGGGTGGGAGGATGGCTCTAAGCTGGGCCCACACCCTTCCTTAGGGATGCCAGGCCAGCTGCTGTGTTCCCGCTGGTTCTGGCAGCCAGTAACAGTGGCACCAATAAATTAATTAGGGCTGTGATTAATTAGTGATGAGGAATCTCCAAGGCTGGCTTCTTCCTGATAAAGCAGAATTTATGTTGCCTTGGTCTCTCCCTGCAGATGGAGGCCCAGACACAGAAGCGGGCCTGGACCTTCGGGAGCTGTGGCGGCTGGCCCAGGGACCAGAGGATGAGTTGCAGGATCTGCAGCTCTCTGAGGAGGACTGAGGGCTGCCAGCCTGGGGACCTGTGGGGACTGCTGTGCAGTGCTCCCACCTCACCAGGCAGTTGGGCTTGTAGCTTCTTGGCTGGCCCTGAGCCTGGAGGTCAGGGCCCATGCTGCGGGGGGAAGGGCAGTAGATGGTGGATGGGGCTTTATTTTTACAACATGAGAGACCAGAAAGTACTGAGCCCTGCACAGATCCCTGGAGTCGTGGCCGTGGGGATGGAAACCAGCACCATGGGGGCTGTTTACTGCTGCGCCCCACAGTATTGGGTTAGATACATCAAGCCTGTGCGAGAAGCTGGTCTGGAGTGGGACTCTGCCCCGACCTCTTGCCCCTGATGGCAGGATGCGGAAAGCCTCGCAAGGAGCAGTCCCAGTGCTAGACAGAGCGAGCAGGCACGGCCGCGGCCAGTGTGGCATGACGTGCCTCCTCTGTCATTCTGTGGTTTGTCTGCAGGCACCCAGGATGCAGAGTGCCCATGCCTGGGCTCAGGTTTGGGTCCCCAGGCTGTCTGCACCTGGCTGTATGGCCACCCCAGAAAGTTCTGAAAACTCTTTTCCTCTTAAGTCACATTTTCCTTTTAAAAATTCTTTGTGTTTCTGCATCCAAATCCAAAACGCAAGTAAGCTGTGGGGTGGGGTCTTTTGCATCAGCTGCTGGCACTGAAGGACTTAGGGGTCAGGGTGGTTTACCCACCAGCTCAGCACAGAGGCTGGGGGGGTTCTGCGGGGCCGGGGAGCAGAGCCACAGTTCCATTCTCTTGCTTGGGCGAGGCTCGGCCAGCAGGGGGGTGTCCCCCCCCATAGGGGGAGGGGGCCATTGTTGGGGACAGGGGCTGCTCCCCAGAGGTGAGCTCCCGCTCTGGGGCCCGCAGCGTCGGTGGCTGCAGCGGCAGAGCCACAGGGAAGCTGGCCATGTAGAAGACTCGGCCTAGGCGCTTGGCCACCTGCGGAGAGACGGGCCTGGGTGGGGGCGCTGCTGGCCTGCTGGCCTGCAGCCACAAAGAGCTCAGTGCTGACCCACCGTTGTCTGGAGACTCCTGCCCCCAGCTGGCACTCACCTGGGCCCGGATCTTGAGAGCAGGCCCTAGCTTCAGCCCCATGGTGGTCAGGAGGTGCTCCTCGGTCAGCAGGGGCAAGGTCTCCCCGTCGATCCCCTGTTCTCTGAACACCTGGGGGGGCGGGGGGGATGTCAGGGCCTGAGTGCTGGGACCAGTGCCTACCCACCCTGCTGGGTCCCTCCAGTCCGCCGAGGGCTGAGTGCCTGGGGTTGCCTCATGGCTTTCCAGAGAGAGCAGGGCCAAGAGAAGCTGTTGGTGACGTTTGCTGGAAAAACTTGCAAATGAAAGGAAGATCTTTGTGTTGGGCATACGCCTATGTTGGAGGCAGAAGCGCTGACATGGCAAAGGGCCGGCGGCGGGGTGGGGGGCATGCAACAGCATCCTTCCCCCTCCCCACACGCTGTTAGTGAGGAGGGGAGATTCGGGGTGGGAAGAGGCACTGGGGAAGGAACTCAGAACCATCTCAGGAAGGTGTGTGACCACCCCGCCCCCTCACCGGTGCATATTCTCCACAGCCAGACAGGCCCCCCACAAAGCTGCAGACATCGTCCACTGTCCACTTGCTGAGGTCCTCAGGGGCTGTGGCCTCCTCCCCATCCATGAAGAGTCCCCCCATGGTGCCTGGGTTGGGGGGGTGGTATTACTAGGACTATGGCCAGCGCTTTCCTATTCTCCCACCCATGTCTATTGAACTTGCCCAAATTGTTCAGAGGAGATGGATTGATGACTAAAAGGGATTTTTTTTTCTCCCCATGGACCCCCTCCCTAAGACCCAGGGTGGTGGTGGGGACTGGGTTTCCTTCCACCCCATGGAGGGCTCTGAAGCATGGAGGGGGGATGCCCACCTGTGTGGAAGTAGGGGCTGACGGCGTAGGGTAAGCCCAGGGGCAGTGGAGGGGGCAGCATGGACCCTGAGAGAAGCCCCTTCCCCTCAGGGCTGGCCCCTCCAGTTGGGGCTTGGCCCAGGTTGGGGCCCTGGCCCCCAGCAGCCACCATCTCAGGGTCCTCTCCTTCTGAATCCTTGGGGGGCTCATCCTCAGAGCCATCTTGTGCCCAGAGCCCAGCCCCCGTGGTCTCCTTGGACTCACTGGAGTGGGCTGAGGCGGGGCTGGGCCCCCCCTTCCGAAGGGCTCGGCGGACAGGCTCCCGGGGAGGGGTGGGTGGGCCGGGGCCTGGGGGTCCCTGGGGGGGCAGGGCCAGCAGCGGCGCGGAGCTGTGTCTCAGCACCAGCATGGCCCCGCGCCGCTGCAACTCTTCGGCGCCCTCAGACGGGCGCAGGGCGGCTTCGGGCGCCAGCAGCTGAGGCCGGTGCGCGCTCTCCAGCTCCTTCTGACGCAGCAGCTCTGCCGACATCTCCAGCCTGGACCGGGAAAAGCAGACGGTAGCGTGGGTCATGTAGCTCGGCAGTGCCACCTGCTCCTCCCCGGTAGCCATCGCACTCACCGGGCCAGGTTCTGCTTTCGCAGGAGCTCCTGCTGCCGGGCCAGCATCTCTGCCTGGGCAGGGGGCAGGAACCCGTAACCTGGTGGGAAGGGGACAGACCACGAGGCCAGGTGGCCGAGTGGTCTAGGGCCACCCAAGCCCACCTGGTCTGTCCTTGGCTTCGACGGGGCGGGGATGGGTAGTCGGGGCGCACTCGGGGACACGGGGTCTGTCACTGGCAAGCCCAGATGCGCCCACACCGACGGCCTCGCGGCGTGCTCACTCACAGCCCCTTAGGACACAAAGAGCTCACACACCCCGCCCACTCCTCACCTGGGGTCTGGCAAAGAGCCGAGGGCACCCCCAAAAAGGGGGGCCTGAGGTGAGGACCCAGGGCGATGTGCGGGGCATTCTGGGGTGACAGCAAGGGGGGCGGCTGCGACAGCTCCCTGTGGACGACAGGACCGTAAGCAGTGCGCGCCGCAGGCCCCCTCCTTTCCCGTAACTACCCTGCGCCCGCGCCCTCACCCCCACCCCCACCCCCTCCCCCTCCCCTCCGGCCGCCGCCTCTACTAATTGCCGGCCCCGCGGGCGGTCGATGCGGCTGCTCGCTAAGACTCCGGGTCGTGCGCCGTCCCCGCCCCCGGCTGGCGGCGCCAATTAATCTCGGCGGCGGCGCGGAGGCGCTGACCCGGCGGGCGGCGGCGACTGCTGCGGTAATTACCGCGCGGGGCCCACCCGGCCCCCGCCTCCCCGTCTGCGGTGGACCCTGTGCGGCTGGGGGGTGGGGGGCGCAATTAGCTGCAATCCTGGAGGCGGGGGAGGCAGCTGCAAATAGCGCTCCGGGGAGGAGGGCGGGGGGCGCGGCGTTGTTGGGGGGGGGGGCGTACCCTGGCGCCCGGCAGGAGGCCGCGGAGAGCCGCCCAGCCCCTTACCGCCCGCCTAGCTCGCTCACCCCTTGGCCTCTGCAGGTGGACCGCGGGGGTGGGGGGGCAGGGTGGGGGTGGGGTGTGTGTGTGTGTGTGTGTGTGTGTGTGTGTGTGTTTTCCCTGCCCCAGCTCTCGGACTTCAGGGTTTCCAGACCTCGCGCTGCTCCCCTCTGCTGCCTTCTGGCCCCCTCCACAGCCCCCTCTCCACGGACTCCCCCAATCTGCCTCCAGCCCCTCACCTACCTGTTGGGGGAGCAAAGCCCTCAGCTGTCTCTGGGGCACCTGGATTCAGCGAGTCCCACAGTCTCCCACAGTCGCTCAACAGACACGGCAGTCACCCTTAACACCCTGCCCAGAGGGGTGGTCACCCCCACACATTCTACTCCAGGAGTGTTCTGGGCCTCTGACCAGCTCAGCGGGTGTCAGGACCTTTCTGCAGACCATGAACCTAGGGCCAGCACAATGCCTGGCACACTCTGTACCGACAACGGCAGCGTGTGGCTGCGATGGGGGCGAAGAGTGTGCACACTGAAGGCAGGTGACAAGGTAAGGAGATGCAGGCTGTGGACGTGACCTGCAGAAACCAGGTACTAGGTTTCTGATAGGCCCACCCCAGCTTTGTATCCAAGAAATGAGCAAAGAGAAGATGGGGGCCTCTCTGATGTGGGCACCCCAGTACCTCTCTGAGAAGGATGGGGTGCCAGCTGGCACGGTGCCCTCTCGGTGCTGAGCCAGGCCCTGCTTTCGACGCTGACCTGCCGTGGATGAGGGCAGGTGGACTTCCAGGCCACTGGGGCTCCTCACAGCTGCTGCTGCCACCTCCTGCCGGACCCTCAGGAGATCTGGGAGTTGGGGAGGGGGTGATCAGTGGTGACCCAGAGGCCAGGCTACCCCAGGTCTCTCACTACCCCAACGCTGCTGAATGAAGGACACTGGGCAAGGACACCGAGGAGACCAGAAGCCAATGAGAGCACATCCTTACAGTGACCTTGCTGGTTGGTCATGGGGACAGAAAGATGAACAGAAGGCCACAGGACAGGGGAGACTCAAATCATCACAGTGCAACTAGCTTTATGTGGTGTTAGGAATGGGGGTTGGGAGGCACCCACCTGTATCGGGAGGGGGGCAGGTAAGCATTTGAAAGCGGTATGGGGATTTCAGTAACCCAAATGCAGTGGGGAGGGAGGGAAAGGCTCCGAAGGCAGGGGATTCTGTGGTGCGAATGTTGATATTGACAGGAGTTCAGAGGTTGTGGAGAGCAAGGCTGCAGATGGGGTTGTGCAAAGACCCAAGAGTGAGGGCGCAGGCCTGCTCCTGGAGGAGTGGGAATGGGTTTTCAACCCTGTACTGACAAATGCCCAGGTGACCCCCTTCTAGGTAACACGCAGTGCACCCTCAAGGCGCCTAGCACTCTGCTCCCCTTCGGAGTCCCTCCATCCTGCCCGCGGCCGGGCCTCCGGGTCCCCCCCCCCCCCCCCGCCCCGCGCAGCCCCCCATTTGTGCAGGCTCCGCCGCCGCCGCCGCCGCCTGTTTATAAATTAATTACCCGAAAAGCGGAGGTGGGTCCTGCCCGGGCCGGGTGCCAGCCCGCAGAGCCCAGCCGGCTCGGCCGCCTGCATCGATCCCAGCGGGGCCCCTCGCCCCCGCGCCCGCCCGGCGGCCTCGGTTATTTACAGTCGGCTCCGCGGCGGGGGCGGTGGCGCAGGGCCATGATTGACAGCCCGGCTCCCGGCGCTGCTCCCCGGTGGCCGGCGCCCCCTCCCCGGCGCAGACCAGCGGAGCGGGCCCCAGGCAGGGCAGGGAAAGCAATTAAAAAGGAAGATTTTTAAATTATTAACATTTGGTGAATTATTCAGGCTCTCGGTGCCTGGCTGCCCTGGGGGACAGTGCCTTGTGTAAGGAGAAGAAATCCTGCCCTCTTTCCCAGCACTCCTCACGCCTGAAAAAGCCAAGCTAGAGGCAGCACCGTGGGCTGGGGTCTGCCAGGCTAGGGTGCAGCTGGTCAGGGTGCCAGATGGTGGGTGGGTGAGGTGTGTCCATGAGAGGCAGGAAGGACAGATGGACAGAGCAGTGGGGAGCTGGGTGGGGCAGGGACTGTGCCTCCAGCCGGGGCTTCTGAGCACCCCTTGAGGTAGGTCCTGGCGGCCACATCCTAACTGCTACCCATCCTCCCTTCTGGATGTCCTAGCCGGACAGCTCCCCTCCTCTTGGCCCCTCCCATGTAGAGCTGACCCCAGGTGAGGTGGGGCACGATCTCACACACCACCCTGATGGCAGCTTACAGGACTACAGGCCATACGGACCAGCGGACAATGAGAAGCTGCATGTACAGGAGAGAGGCGGGTGGGCCTGGCTCAGTCCCCACCTCCCACTCTCACTGGGGCTCATCCCAGACTGTTTCCTCATCTGTGAAATGACAGTGCTTGCCTGTCACAAGTGAGGGGTGGCCCTGCTAGAGAGTCTGTGGGAGATGGTGGGGGTGGACTGTAGGGATATGCAGGTGGGGGATCCCCCAGATCTACCCAAACAAGTGGATGCCTGGGCAGAGGGAGGAGGAGAGTCACCCCTCAGTGCCCCCCTACAAGGGCCTACAGATCTGCATCCAAACCCAGTCTTGGTGTCAGGAGCCAAAGATCCCGGAGCCTCTTTCCAGGGTGAGCAGAGGCCTCCAGGGACAGCAAGAGCCCAGCACACACAGGTAGACACTTGGTAAGGGATGGTGCCATGGGGTGGGGGCACATACCATGGCTGGGGAGGCCCAGGTGGTAGAGACGCTGGGGGTCCTCAAAGGTGCTGGCCTCACTCAGGGCAGACACGAGCCGGCGGTAGTGATCCTCAGGGGCCATGCTGGGCCCTAGTTCTGGCAGCAACAGAGTCTCTGTGTTGGGGGGAGCATAAAGTGAGGGGATTCTCCTTCAGATGCTGCCACAGGAGAGGCAGGACCTCCCCTCCTAGAACCTGCTGCTGGGCTGATTCTGCCCTGCATGGGGTCTGAGTGATCCCCCTCCCTCCTTGTGGCCTGTCCCTCCACCTCCAAGTTGAGCTCCCACCTTGGGGCGACTTGCTTCGTGCCTTTTTCTCCAATGGGCAGTCACTGCTGATGTGGGGGGAGCGGCCTAGCCTCTTGCCCAACAGGTCACCTGTTGGGGGAGGGTAAAGTGAGCCCCATCATGCATCTCCGGGCTTGGAGGGGATGGAGGCTGGGAGGGCCAGGGGCAGAGAGGGACCCAGCCCAGGCCTCCGTCCCAGCCAGCCCCAGCTCAGCCCAGAACCTAATCCATCATTGCTCAGGTGCCCTTGGGTCCTGGCCAAGTCAAAGCCTTTTCCAGTCCAGGGTCCCAGGCCTTCAGCCAGAGGACATCTTGCCAGGGTTTGGATAGGTCAAGGGACGGTTCTGATCCTGGACTTTGGGGTATGTGTGTATGTGATGGGAGATTTGTGGTAGCAGACTCAGGTGGCAACTCAGGACTCCACAGGCACCCTGCTGCCCCTATCCAGCCAGACTGGTCTCCTGTGAAATTAATGATCGGGCCCTCCCGATCATTCTGCCGAAGAGGAACTGAAGGCTTTGGTTTAGCCTGGAAGTCACCCTCCCTCCCAGGGGTGAGGACCCTAGCCTCTATCCACTCAGGGAAAGCGCTAGGCAGCAGGCCCCCAAGGACACCTTGAAGCCCCCAAGGTCGGGCACACCTGCCACACCCACTCCTGGGGACCTCCACCTAGGCCACACTCCTCACTGCCCTTAGAGGGCCTGAGCCAGCACCCTGGCCTTGCCTGTCACACAACTGCCCACCTGCCCCCTGGGCTCTGAGCTCTTGAGGGCACCCCTGAACAGTCTGGTCTGCTGTACACAGCCTGGCCATAGTAGTGTATGTGCGTATGGGGGGGGACAGCCCCACCCCTCTCTGAAGACCTCTCTCAGGTCCTACATCTAAATTATACTCCTCTGTCTCCCCAAATCCACCCCTCTCCATCCCAGCCCCTGATCCTTCCTTCCTGAGCTCAAGGCCTGGGATAGGGTGTCTGATGAACAGCTCAGCAGATGTCCTGTTCTCCCGGGCCCACCACAGTGCTGGCCTCCAGGCCAGAGCCCATGTTCTGGCCCCCTCTCCACCCTGAGGAGGCTGCCTGGGTGGGTGGGGTGAGGGCTACCCCCTCTGTGAACCAGGCCTGCCATGACACCTCAGCAAGGCAGGCTTCCCAGAAGCCTAATTCCCAGAGCCTAATTCCTTTCCCTTATTCCCTTAATCTGTCATTTTTATCAGGCCGGGGAAGTGCGGCAGCAGCGAGAGGCCGATCAATCTCCACTTTACAGCTGACAGAATGGTGCTAATAAGTTATTGATCTCAGCCACCTCGCTGCCACCTCGGCAGCCCAACCCTAGGCCTCGCCCCGAGGGGGACGAGGTCCTTACTGCTTGGCTGAAGGGTCCCTACCTCAGTGACCTGGCAGGACAGAGAGGGGCACAACCAGCATGAGGGCTCCTTGAGGAAACCAAAGCTGGCTCCCAATAGCTTTGGGGCATCAGGGCCCAGCTGGTAGGAGAGCCACGACATCCAGCTGTGCCAGGCCTGGAGGCAGATTTGGGCTGGGTCCACACCTGCTGCCCATGCCCCATCCTGCACACACCCCTTTTAGGTTTAGCAAATAACCCAGCACTCTCACTTCCCTGAGTCCCATTCCCATTTTCCACAGTGGAAACTCCCCCTCCCCTTCCTACGGGTGGGGGGGTGGGGGTGGGGGGAGGTGCTTCTGGAGGTAGAAGGAGGACCCACAGTGAGACCCAGCCCACTGGCTGCAGTAAGGTCTTGCCATGGCGATCTGGGAGTTCGCTAGTCCTTGATAAGGGCCATGTTCACTCATAGACACATATACACAGTCCTAAGACACCAGCATGGACCCAGGTTGAGCCCCTCACAGTCCTCCATGGCCTTTCCTGTCCAGGATCCATTTCTGTAGGAATAGGACTGACATGTGGCTCCTGGGGAATCAAGAGAAGGTGACGGCAGGCAAATGTCCCCACCCAAGGGCCGACAGGAACAAGTGGAAGCCAAGGGGGGATGACAGCCCCAAGGAGAGAGCAAACTCTCACAAAACCTGGACACAGTGCACACACGTGACCGTTCATGCAGAATACCTGTGACCCCTGGAGTGCAAGCAGGGGTCACAGCAAAAAGCGAGAGTGAGGCCACAGGTGTGTGGCATGATGACACCCAGACGCAGAGTGTGAGCTGGGTGCCCGGGCCATGCTAAGGCCCCAGGCACGCAGCCCTAGCAGGGAGCGGGGTGCACATGCCTGCTTTCACACATGCACACCCGTGCCCATGTACTGTGAGGTCTCCTTGTGTGCGGGCAGCAGGGGGAGGGCCTGCTGGCTCAGAATATCTCAATCACTGTGGGGCTCCCGCGGCTCCGCCCGATCGATGGAGCAATTAGATTTTATCAGCTGCCTGCTCAGCAGCCTCCAACAAGGCTCCAGAAGCAGCCCCCTCACACCCACCCCACAAAAGCCTTCCCAGGCACAGGCACGCCTGGGGGCACTAGGGAGATGACCATCTCCTGGCCAGCTTTTCTGAGAGCTGTAGCCACTGCTGGAAACTTCCCTGCCCTGGGTCCATTGGACTGCAAGGGGCCCCTGCCAGGTCCTTTGACCTCTCCTCTTTCAGTCAGAGCTCAGCCATGCCCCATTCTCTGCAGCAAAGCCTCATGGCCAAGTCCCTGCTGGCCTGTTCCTCGGGGGAGGGCCTGGGTCCCCCAGCTGCCCCCTCCTTCTGAGCTCCTGCTACCTCCAGGAGCTGTCCCTCTGAGATGACCTCAGGAGCTTGGGCCAGCACTCTCCTGCCCCACCCCTGCAGAGGTCCGGGCTCCAGCCCCCCATCTCTTAGGCGATGGACCCCTTTCCTCCAGGGGCCTGTGCTCCATGGGGTTGGTGGGCACTCTCATGCATGCAGACTGTGTCCCTGCCCTCAAGTGAGCCATTCAGGATGTGCATTTCCGAGCCTGCGTGAGGCCTGCCCGTCCCGGACTGTCCTCCCTGCTTCTGCTCCTATGGGAAGGGGGTGGCAGTGGCCTTGACCGCTCCAAGCCCACCCCAGAAGCAGCCATGGTGGAGCCGGTGGAGCCACTGCCTCTGCCTCCCGTCTCGCTGGCTGGCCGGGATTAACACAATTACCATCACACGGAGCCCCGGGGGACAGCCAGCCTTGCCACCTCCCGCCTCCGCTGGCCTCCCTGGCTGCCAGCCAAGGGTGCTGGAGGTGGCAGCATCCAGAGCTGCTGAGCAGAGACGCTGGTGGGGGTGGGGGGGGTGGGGGGGCGGGGGGGGGGTGGCGGGGCAGGCTGTCCTCAGGCTGAGCTGCAGTGGCCCTGGCAGCCGTGTTCTCTCCCCCCAGCTCCTCACCTGAGGCTCCCAGGCCTATCTCCACACCACCTCTCTGGAATTCACAGCGGCTCTGATGCTCGGGCATAACGAGGTGGCGGCTTCGGTGGACACTGGATATGAGGGTGGGCAGGTCGCTGTCCTGGCTGCAGCAAGCAAGACAATGAAGGTGAGACCCCCAAAGGCTGTGTGCCCAGCCCTGGGCACAGCAAGTGCCCAACTAAGCTCGAGTGTGGGCATGCGTAGTGCCAGAGGGCAAGTGTGCCATGCCTCCTGCCCGCCTCTGTGTGTGGTCTGTGACAGCACCATATGCAGGCATCCCCATAGCAGGGCCCAAGGGAAACATCTAGTGGGTGTGACCTATCTAGGCCTCACCCAGGACCGCTAGGACCTGCCAGGCTTCTGCCTGGCATGGGGCTTTACACTCAGGCCCCACCGCAGCTCCCAGGGAGGGTGTGTGCAGGGCACGGGGACCCAGCTCAGTCTTGCCATGCTCTCCCCATAGTGACCAGAGCAATCGCCTGACAAGGGGGTGTCTGCTCATGAGGAACAGTGACCAGAGAGGGCTCACACTGTTGCACATGCATCTAGCGCTTACTCCTGTGTTAGCTGCTTCATTAAGAAAGTCGCATGCACTCTTTCAGCTAAAGCTTGCAACGACCCACAGACGCTCAATTTCTTCAAATAAGGAAACCAAGGTTCAGACCGAAGTCCTGCAGCCAATGAGACGTGTGCACACACAGGGACACATGTACACTCTCACAAGGACTGGCAAGAGCATGCACCTACACACGCACACAGACACGCAGACACACAGCCTGAATGGGGAGTCTGGTCCCCCTGTGTGCTCAGGACACTCTGCTCTCCCCAAGGCCCCCAGCTAAGAACCTCAGCCGCCAGGCATGTGTGGGCCTGGAATCAACATGTTTTTAACTCTTTTGTTCCCTCAGTTCTCTTTCTGCTAACGCAGCTCAACCCTACACCAGAGTCCCAGAGAAAGGGTGGAGTGAGAAAATGTCAGTGTGGCTGTGTGTGAACGGCCCCCCATCTGCTCCTGGAGTTCTTAGCATAGAGGAGGGTCACCTGTCATCTTACAGATGCCGCCTGGAGCAGCAGGAAGACAGAAGAGAGGAGGAGCAGGGGGGCCCTGGGCACCCCCCCCCAGTGCCCTTGCTCCCTGGCCCACCTGGAATAGAGCAGCCTCCCAGCTGGGCCGCTGCAAGGGGGCCTCCACGGAGTGACCTGGGGACCGACCCTGAACCTCATTAAATAGCCCCCGGCCCCCCTGGCCTGGGCGGCTGGAGCAGGCTAATCCAGGCTGGCCCCTAAGCAGATCAGTTTCAGCCCCAAAGACTCCAGGGCTGGGCTCTAGAGCCTTCTGGGAGACCCAGATGCGGGTTCTCTCCCCACCCCCACCCCCCCTCCCAGGAGGAGAGAAGGTGCCCCCCCATGCAAAGAGGAGGGGAGGTGGGGTGGAGTAAGTACTTTATGGGATTAATTGGCAGCAATTCTCATCCCTCTATCATCCTCATCAATGCGAGCGTGTTGAGGAGAGAAGTGCTGTCCTCAGCACTAGGGAGGGGGTGGGGGGGCTGGCTGGAGGCTGCCTCCAAGTTCTCCCCTGAGGGGATCCAATTCTGGTGTCCCCAGGACTCCTACAGGAAGTGGATCACCCCGGAGACTGAGTAGGTGAGGAAAGGCCTCATCAGTTTGTTCCCCATGAACCCTTAGACCAGCGCCCACACAGGGACCAGGGACTCTAGCCCCCAGCTCACCACCACCGCCATGGCCATCAGCTCTTTCACTCAGCGGTCAGTCATTCAGGCACTCAGGTGGTGCTGTGAAACCATGGAGGTGAGGCCCGGTGGGAATCAGGACACCACCGCCCACCACAGCCTTGCTCTGCTCTCTGCCTTGGGGGTTCACCCCACAGGCCCCAAGACAGCCTGGCCTGGCTCTGGAAAACATGTTCTGGTCACTCACTGAACAAATTATGCCAGGTTTTATGTAAAGAACTACAAAGAAACACCAGGCTGAAAACACATGAACTCTGCATTCGGCATCCCAAGTATGAGGTTCCCACAGCCCTGAACACAGTATCTGCACCGTGTTGTGCATGAGGGACCAAGCCCACGAGGGTTCTTGGGAGGCTCTCTGTGGCACCATGGGGTGGGGCTGTGTATCAGGAGGTCAGGGGGAGAGCTTGAGTGACAGAGGGGCTGCAGGGAGGAGGGTGTGTGCTAGGAGGTTGAGGGAGAGGGGTCTGGCCCCTCCGACCCCAACTCTCCCCGAGGGGCACCCTGGGCTCCTCCAGGCTCCCTCAGCCGACTGTCATACTGTCCAGTGTTTGCCCATATCCTGGCCAGCTCAGGGGCCCCAGGAGGGCAGGGACCATATCTCCGGCCAGCTGCCTGGGGTGCATGGGTGCTGAAGCAGGAGCTCCAAGCAGGCAAGTGGGCCAATGGATGGAACCCATGGACAGATGGATGGACAGACAGGTGAAGGCCAATGGGTGGAGAGAGAGGGACAAACAAAGTGAGAGATGATGACAGATGAACAGACAGGCACTACTGAATGGATGGACGCAGAGACAGAAAGGATGGGAATAGCAGAGAGATGAATGGACAGAGGCTAAAGAACAGACAGGAGACTAGAGATGAAGGACAGAGGGACAGCATCAAAAGGAGCCAGGAAGAGACAAGCCAGGCTGCCTGCAGCCCTCCTTGGCCCGAAGCCGAGGTGCCGCATCAGCAGGTGGGGGCAGATAGCCTGTAAGTCCTCTCGGCACGCTACACCCCTGCCCCGAAACCGCAGTCTCCTCTCTGGTAAAATCCAGAAAATCATCCCAGACACCCCTAGTGCCTGTGCAGGACTGAAGGAGCCCACATGCACTTGGACTTGGCCCCTTACCGGGAGCACCCTCTGTCTGGACACCTGGGACCTTCTCTCACTTTACAAGGCCAGGGGTGGGTGAGGAAAGGGCTACCGGAGGCAGGAGGAGTCATTCCAGGAGTGGAGGAACCTCCCTTGGGTTCGCTATAAGCTTCACTGACAAATTCATCCTGTAGCTTCCCAAGCAAAAGGCTCATAAAATGTCATCAATGTTCATAACGGTTCATAAAAATGATCAGTTGAGCAGGCAACTTCAAAATGAGGTAGAAATAAGTTTAAAGATGTTTTCACTGTAATTCGGCTCTAGGACCCAGATATTTTCAGAGACGTAAATAATAATACATATGGCACAGAACCAGGCTGGGAGTGGGGAGGACAGGCTCCCACCTTGGGGGCTGGCCCCTCAGCTTTGGCTGAGGAAGCTGGGCCTGTGCTGGGTGCCTACTGTCTCCTAGGCTGGGCCCTTCCTGTACCCTCCCTGGAAGCCCTGTGGTAGGACTTGACCCCACTGACCAGAAGCCACAGCCTGGGCTCCATCCACAGACTGACCATCCTTTGCTCATCTGGAATCTAGAACTTGGGTCTCCCCAGTGCCCTCCCAACTTCCTCATCAGGTCCCCTCATTTTTATCTCCTTGCTATGTCTTGGGTTCGCCGCCCCCCTGCCTTCCATCATGCTTCCACAGCCTGAACCACTGTAGACTGGAGCAAACCTCCAACCTCCTGGGCAGGGCCTCCAGAAGGACCTCATCAAAACACACACTCTATCACCCCTCTGCCCAAGAACTTTGGGTGGCTCCTCACTGCCTGGAGCACCGTGTTCTACGGGCTCAGCATCCAAAGTCCTTTAGCATTCAGTTGGATCAGACCTGCCAGCCCCCCACAGCCCTACATCCCCTTCCCTTGTTCTTCCACATCTTTGCAGACATCCTCTTTCCCTAGTGAACGCCTCTGCATCCTATGAGACCCCAGGCACACATCACCATCCTCATCTCTGGGTGGGTCTTTGGGAGGGTGGGAGGGGGAGGTCATGGCCTCATCTTTGGGCAGACTGACTCAAATGGTCAGTCCCATGTGGGAGGGTTAGGCTGCCCAGAACCCACCTGTGCTGTTGTTAGGGCCTGGGCACAAACCGACCGACAGACCACAGACTAGGGAGGGGAGGAAGGGAGGGAGGCTGGAAAGATTTAGAAGCAGACCCACGGGAAATGGAGCAACAAGTCTCCATCCTGCCCACGCACGATGTGTGGGGATAAGCCCAGACCCTACCTGCAGGACGTCTCTCGGAAGGAGATGTTCACGTCCCAGTGGGTGTGGACTCTGCAAGGAAAGAAGCAGAGGGTCAAAGTGGCCTCCAGGATCTGGTACCTGAACAGCAGGGTGTGTGTATGGCATAGCCCTCATCTTCCCCAGAGCGCTGGCCCCAAAGGAACTGGGTTGGCTCGGATTTGTCTCCAGTGCTATCTGGTACCAGCTCAACCAGCCAGTGGCTGCCACCAGGATAGGACCATGGGGCAGGAGCCGACTCCTGGTCTCACCAGACAAAGGAATTGGGAAGGACAGAAATGAGGCTGCCACACCTGTCCTTCTTGTTGCAGCGAACCCAGGAGAGCTACCACATTGTGCTGAGGGCGGGGGTGGGGAGGGGAGCTGCAGCCTCTTCTGCGATCAGCCATGCAACTGAACCAAATTCCTAGTTGCTAGAGCTGCTCCAGCCAGGCTGGAACAGGTCAGGGAGCAAGCCCCATGGCCGCTGCCGGCACCAATGGTCCAGTGTCAGCCCAGGCGGGTGCAGCTTCCTGGGTCCCAGCTGCTACCAGTCTGCCTCCTGAAAGCGACCACCGCACTTGTAGGTAGGAGGGATGCCAAAACGAGAGGTCAAGTAAGGAAACAGCTCTGCCCTCTGCCTGTCCCCTCACTCATAGCAGTGTTCCCAGAAAGACCCTCAGGCTGAGGGATGGTGGTTGGAAGCCTGTGTGGGTGTGTCACCTTAGCAAGCGTGGGTATGAGGGCTGGGAAGTGGGGGTGTTGGGGGTTTGGGAGGGTTATTTTAGGGCAGGAGATGTTGGAACACGTTGAAAGATTAGGTGGGAAGAGAAAAGGCCTAGAAACTCTGGGGGTGAGTAACATGTGCTGGATGGACAGACAAATGAATGGACCGACGACAGATAGATGGAGGCATGAAGAGGTGAGTGGACAGTGGGAGGTGTCTCTGCCAGGAGAGGAGATGGTGGGAAGTCAGGAAGAGTGGCCCCAAGCCTGGAAGGGACAGTGGGTAGCCAGGAAAGCTGCCTCCAGCCAAGGAGAATGAGCATGAGAGTTTCAGGGACAGCTCCGGGAAGGGGGCTGCTCAGCTCCTTTCTCTCCGCCTGGCTGTGGTGGTATCAGGCCCTCCCTTCCTGGGTCTCCCTGACTGCCCTCCTCCGAGAGCCCCTGGCCCTTCCTAGAGCCTCCTTCCTTCCCCACATGGAACCTCGTCGACCGCCTCCCTCCAAGTGGGGGCAGGGTAGGTTCTCACTATGGTCTTGTGGCGTCAGGGGTTCAGGCTGTTTCAGCTTCGGCAGACATGACAAGCTCAACCTGGGCCCTGTCCCCAGGGCAAAGGGTCCTCGCCCTGGCCTGGCCTTCAGCTACCTGGAGACACCAGTCTTGATGTCCCGTCCAGAGCCCGGGTGCCTCCCCCGAGCCTGGCCCCCAGTAAAAGTACCTTCTCCTCATGATAGGGACATGTGGGGTGTCCTCCTGTTTCAAGCCTGGTTGCCGCCCACAGGCTGGGCCACTCCCATCGCTGTCACCATCACGGGACGAGAAGCTGGGGGTCAGCTCCTTCTTTAGGACCCGTGCAGTGGGCAGGGCAACTGTCCTCTTGTCTGCCAGCCGCCCCCGGTTCTGGGTAGGGAGGGAAGAGAGGAAGGTTAGGCTGAGCCAGGACCCTCAGGGTCCTGGGAGCTGTGCACTCCAGGCCCAAGCCTTAGGCAGGGTGCAGGTGACGGAAGCCCTCAGAGCAGCTGCTAAGATCAAATAGGCACCATCACTGGCCCCGCTGCAGGGCTTCTAGCCCACAGGACAGGCCCGAGGGTCCACATGGGTCCCAGTGGCTGGAGCTGAAGACAAGAGCAGAAAGATGAGGCCCGGGTCTGCTACCAGGGAGCGGGGTGCAGTGAAGGGCTGTAGGCCCTGGCCAGGCTCCTCGTGACACTGCCTTGTCCAGACTCTGCACTCTAGCCGGAGTGTGGGGGTGCCCACCCGGAGGCAGACCCCAGCTTTCTCGGCCCCAGGGAGCCCCAGGGACCACGTGTGCACAACACAGCATGTCTGCATTCTGCCACGTGTTCAACGTGCAGGTACCTCTGTGTGCTTGTGTCTGCTGGACCGTCCCACAAGCTCCTGCATGAACCCCCAGCCACTGCCAAGTCCTGTCTTCTATTCTGCTAGTGCCACGCAGGGTCCAGTTCAGGGTTGTTTGGAGCCTGAGTCTGGGGCCTGATCCTGCTGACCCCTTGCAAACTGCAGGCCCGGGGTTCACAGGTCACTTGATGGGGAGCCCTTACCAACCTAGACCCTTTGTCCCATGGGCCCCTAGTGAGCCTACCCTCTGGGTCGGAAACAGAGATTCCATTTCTTCCACAACACCTCCTTCTCCCCTCCCTACACCCATGTTGTGAGGATGTGGAGCTCATGTGTGTGCTGTGTGCTGGGAGATCAGAGCAGGAAGGCATGTCCTGTGCACAGACATGGAGGGTACTCCACACCGAGCTTGTCCGTGCTCAGAGCATACTATACAAGGTTACTATACACCAAGGCTCCCTACAGTGTCCTTAGGTCCTGCTGCCCCAGTGGAAGAAGAAAAGTTACTGATTCTTTTCGGGTGGGCAGGAACCCTTTTCTTATTTAATAAGGGGTTGCTGTTTCAGGGGGGTGGCAGGGACCTTGGGATTATCTAATTCTCTCTCATCTCTTCAGTCACCTGGGGACCCTCGGACATCCTCTTTCCTGTTGCAAGGACAATGCCATCATACCCACGAGCTTGAGGAGGAAAGTGTGGAGGAGGGTCTCGCTTCACCCTGGACCCGTGTCATCCTGGACCTGAAGGACTGCTAAGCAGCCACCATCGTCCTGCCCTCCAGAATAAGGGACCTTCCCTTCAGACCCAGCCTACCCCAGCTCCAGATTTGGTCAGTGGCCCCAACAGGGTCAGGGGGCCCTAGTCTTCTCCCCTCGCTTGGTCTGGGGACCACAATTGCCCCCCTCTCCAGGCCCCCCACCGCGAGCCACAGTCTCCCCCATACTTGCCCTTATGAATCCACTTGGGACACCCTCCGTATTCCTCTCTGCAACATACTCAGTGAGAGACCCTGGACAGCACTGGGGCCGGGTGGGAGTCTGAGGGTAGGCCTGAGAGATGAAATGGCCTGCTTTGTGGCCCCTTCTGAGACCCTGGCCTTGGCCCTGTGCTCTAACAGCAATAGCAGAGAGTGGTTGAGCCGCAGGTGCGATGGCCTGTCTGGTCCAGCTATTGGGCTCCAAGGGCAGTGTTTTCAACAACCGCTGGCCTGTCTAAAGTGTGCACTGCTGGGAAGTCCCACTCCGGTCTGCCCTTCTCTAGCCTGTGGCCCAAGCACCAGGACCTCCTCTCCTGTCTTTCTGCTTTAATTGAACTATTCTCTTAAGAAGAAAAGGAAATGCATTTCCCTCTGCTTCTCATCTGTAGGGCGAGGAGGAGAGGAAAATGAGGGCAGTAATACCGCCACTTGGGATGAGGCCAGACCAGCTATGCTGGCCTACGGTGGCTCTTGGAGGTGCTCCTGTGGGAGGGGAGCTGAGGAAGAGGGACCAGGATGGGCAGCCCTGACCCCGACCAAGGACAGGGAGCATACTTTCCTCCTACGCACACCCAAGACCTCAGCCACTCACCCCTGCTCAGCAGCGCACAGATTTGAAAACTCTGTGACAAACCTCTGTTGCTAGTCAACATTGGCGCCTCAGAACACAAGGAGGGGAACAGGAAAGCCATCTTGCATGTCTGCATGATCCCTGCACCAAATATGCACACCCACATTGTGCCCCTGGGGTATCTGTGGCTGTGAGGTGTGTATGTACCTTCGGGCTTGGCTGTGGGGGATGGAGGAAGACAATCTCTATGTGGCGAAAGCGGGGGCTGGAAAGACAAGGGGGTCTGTGTAGCTCCTTCCTAAGGGAAGGGTACAGGGATGGGCCTGGGAGGGACCTGGAAAGACAAGGGGGTCTGTGTAGCTCCTTCCTAAGGGAAGAGTACAGGGATGGGCCTGGGAGGGACCAGGTTCAGGAGAGGAAGGCCCAGGTCTGAGGCATCCCTCATGCAGGACAGGGACCCGGGAGCCCCAGACAGGTAGGCAGTTCGAGGTCGTGGCCTCATCCCTGCCAGACCTCCCCACCCCTCTCCAATCCAAGCAATGTCCCGGGGAAATTGATACTGGGCTCAGGCCACCTGAACCCCACACTCGTGTGAGAGACCTCTGGAGGAGTGGGTTAAGACAGGCTGGGACCCTCCAACCCGAACAGAAACCCCAGGCTAGCCTTGAGGCTGCCCAGAAGACTCTTCTCCAGTACCAGCTGCTTGAAAAGGTGCGTTAAGTGGAGCGGGAGCTCAGCTTCTTGCCCCAGGCAGGTACCGTAGTAGCAGGTAAGAGGTGGGCTGCCTGTGCGCACATACTCTGACCACGAGCTCATGGCAGACAGGTGTGTGGGGTAGGCACACAGGAGAGGCATGGCTGTATCCCCGTCCCCCTGTCCAACTTGTGTGTCTGATCTGGTGTCTGTATTCACAGGTGTGTTTGTGGCTTCCCCGCCTCCAGGGTCCATGAGGAAACCAAAACATCCCTTCCTCCTTCCTACTTCCAGTCCAAAGTAAAGAAGCTGAAGATGGTGTCCTGGGTCCTCTCTCACCCCTTCCTGTGTGGGGGGCTGCAGACGCCAGCAATAACAGCACAATCCCAACCACCACCAGCAGCCAGGGCCCTAACCGGCTCTCCCCGAGCAGCTCAAAATTGGTTCCTCTCAAGATGCAATTTCTTCTTCAGATCAGTCCTCCAACTATTGCTGCCTGGAGGACATAGGATGTGGAAGACAGTGCTTCAGGGGCAGGCCCAGCACCCCAATCTCTGCTGCTCCCCTAGGCCAAAGAGGGCATCAATACATGTCTACACTGGGTTGGGGGTCCCACATCAGCCTCCACCTCCAGATCTTGACACCAAAGGCCCACACTGCTCAGATTCTGCCCCCAACTGGGTTGTATCCTCAGACTCTCCTGGACATCCAGGGCCTTGCCCAGCAGGGTTCTAGCTTTTGGCATCCCAGAGACACATGTTACTCACCTCCAAGCTGTGACCACCCCAGAATGTACATCCAGGCCAGCCAACAGTGTCACATCCCAGAACAAGTGTTACCTTAGGACCAGCCCCTCTCCCAAGCCAGGCCAGCTGACACAGTGACACCCCCACCCCCACCCCAGACCTGTGACAGGGCAGGGTCCCAGGCCCCAGGTGGATGGCACTGTCCAGGGAGGAGACCTTTACAGCCTAGGCTGTCCCCAAGACCTGAGAAGAAGCAGCTCCAAGATAGGGAATGGTCAGGTCCTGCATCCAAAGAGCGGAGGGCTGCCCCAGGATTCCCACCCAAAGCGAAGTCTCCCCTATTTGCCCCTGCGGGGGCTCACTCCTGCACACTGGCAGGGTTGAGGTTAGGACTCTGGATCCTAGAAAACAGGCACAAGCTCCACAGGGGAGAAGGAAGACCCAAAGCCCCAACTTTTCTCCCACATCTCACCACCGGGGAGGATATTCGACAGCCCGGACAGTCGCAGATCGGAGGGTGCACCTGCAGAATCCCCTTGGACATAAGCGTCTTCAGACTTTTTCCTGTGAGGAGAGCCGAGGCAGGACCGGTGAGAGAGCAGGGCTGGGGCACAGGTAGAGCCGGCACGCACGGGCGCGCTTTCGGGGCGCAGTAAGCTGCACGGCCGGTTCCCCCTCCTGGCACGTGTATGAACATCCAACTTCCGAACCCGCTACCTGGCCCTGCCGCCCACCACACCCTCGCGGACGCCGCGGGGATCTGCGGAGCTCAGAAACTCAAGATCCCGGCAAGCGCCGTCCCCTGACCAAGGGCGGCCTCCTCCCCGCCCCCTGCGTCCCTCCTCCCGCTCTCTACCCTCTCTCCAAGCCGGTCCGGGGGAACTGGGAACAGGGTTCACGAAGGTCGAGCCTGCGCGCAGGTGAGCGGCGCCGCCGGGACCAGGGCTGTGTCTGAGCCCTCAGCGGGAGGAGGGCGGCCACAGCAGAGCCGCGAGCCTCAAAGCCCAGCGCGACGGGGTCCCCAACTTTCTAAGGATCCCCCACCCCCGCCCCTGTCGCTCGCCGCGCTTCCCCCGTTTGCCTGCTCCGGCGCCCTCGCAACGCGCCCTCGGAGCCAGACTCCTGAATGCTCCAAGCAGGCTGCTCCCAGCCCCGCCGCCGTTCCAGCTCCGCGCGCGCCCCCGCCCCGATGCGCGCCCCCGCGGCCCCCACCTGCCTACGACACCCCTACACCTTCCCTTGCCTTCCAGCAACTCGCACCCGCACCCCGGCCGCCCGTGTGCCCCTCTACTCCCGCTGGAACCTGGTGGCTCCCCGACCCAGGAGGGAAGTCGGGTCCCGCCCAGCCGGCCTCCCGCCGTCTCCCGAGTTCCCCTAAACTTCCCCTGGGCCACACAGCCCAGGAATCCCGCAAAGACCTTCCGAGTGGGAGGAGGGGCCGGCTCGTGTGCAGCCGGGAGCCCAGAGCACCGCGGCTCAAGCTGAGGTGGCGGTGGAGGCCGAGGGCGCTCTGCTCGGGTCCACCAAGGCGACAGTGCTGGGGGCGGTGGGGGGGGGGGGGGGAGTGTCCCCGCGGCAGCCCCAGAGTCGCAGCGCCCTCTCCGGGCGGAGATGGAGTCTCCCAGGTGGCAGAATGAGGGGGTCCGGACCCAGGGGTCCTCGGGGAGCAGAGGGGAGGGACCGTAGCGGCCTGCGCCCCCACCGCGGCCGCACCTTTGTGGCGGATGCTGCGCTTCCAGTCCTTGGCCGTCTCTCGGCCGCTGACGAACTGGAACTCGTTGGGTGTGAGCCACTCGCCGCGGTGGCGGATGGACGGACCCTTGCTGCCTTGGCAGAGTTTGCGCACGTAGAGCAGCGCGCGGTTGGCGCCGCACTCCACCTCGATGCACGGCTCGCCGTTGTCCAGCAGCGGCTGGAAATCCGGGGCCGCGGCCGCAGTGGCTGAGACGCGTTCGAGGGCCAGAGGGCCCCGGGGCAGGTGGAGGTGCGGGGCGGCCTCGTGCAGGCTCAGGTAGGCGCGCGGGGAGCGGAGTGGTGGAGCCCACAGCGCCTCGTAGCCAGCGGTCGCGGCGGGTAGCGAGGCGGCCGGGGGCAGGGCGGCCGCAGCTGGCAGCGGTGTCGGGTAGCCTGGGAGCGGCGGCAGTGGCAGTGCGGCCAGGGTCGGATGGAAGGTGGCCAGAGCCAGGGCCAGGTCTTCGCGGCCTGGGAGCTCCTTCTTGACCGCTGGCATGACGGGCCGGTGGCCTTGTAGCCTGGCTCTCCGCCGCCGGCGCAACTTGCTCGGGCCTGGGCTGGAGTTGGGTCTCGAGGGCTGGGGGCCCGGGAGTCTCCCGGCCGCGCGCCCGCCCTACCCGCTACTGCGCCCCGGCACCTGCGGCCGCGCCGCCCGCCGGGCCACCACGGGCCGCTTCTCGGCCGGCTGCCGGGGCCTTGGCTGCCCGAGACATGGTGCTGCGGGAGCTCCTATCGATCCCCTATCGACCTGCCGAGCGCCGCAGCCCCGGGGCCCCAGGGCTCCCCAGGGCCCTGGGCCACCTGCGCCCGCGCCCCCTGGGGCGGCCCCGCTCGCTGGTCCGCCCGCAGGGCCCAGCCGGGCAGTGGAGTCCAGAAGTCTCCGGCCCTGCGCCCCGCCCCGCCCGGGGGTCCCAGGCCCCAGCCCCGCCTCGCCGCCCCGCCGCCCCGGCCGCGCACCCGCGTACACTGGGGCGCGCCCGCCCGGCAGGGACTTGGGAGACTCCCGCCGCCGCCGCCGCCGCCGCCGCCGCCGCCGCCACAACTTGGCCCATTTAAACGGCCCCGGCTCGGCGGGCGGGCGGGCGCGGGCTCCAGCAGGGGGTGCGTGACGGCCGACTGGGCTCACACGGCTGGCGGCGGGGGCGGTGGGACAGGGCTGCGCCCCTGCCCTATTTCCAAGCGCGCGAGGGTGTGGGAAGGAGCGTATGCTAGCGAGAAGCCGCGCGCACCGACCGCGCCATTGTTGAGGGAGTCATTGGGCGCAGCTGGGAGTCCCGGACTACACTTGGGGAGGGGGCGGGCCCAGGACCGAGAGTGGGCTCCTGGCGCAGGAGGGATCTGTGATTAGGAGCGGCCCGCTGGCCTGGCGGTTCTGGGTAGGAGTGTTTTCACAGCGGCGGTGGGTGGTGGGCATCAGTGTCGGGCGTGGGTGGTCTCCTCTGCATCTGCAGGGTGTGAGGCTGTGGGTTTGTGGTGTGTGGCCTCTGCAAATGTGTTGGGGAGGTTTCATGTTCTGTGAACAACACGACAACGATGCTGTCAATTACCGCCGCCTTATTACTCTGCACTTTACATGCCTTAGTTCACTTGATCATCTCAATATGAGTTTTCCTCATTATTCTCATTTTATAGATGAGGAGGGTGAGACACAGAGAGGTCAAGTAACTCTCCTGATGTCATACAGCTGTTTTAAATCCAGGCTCTCTGACTCCAGGACAAACAATATCTGAGCCATGCTGTGGGGCAGGAAGGTGGGCTAGACGCAGTCTGGTTGAGGGATGGAGATGTGGGGAGGAAGAGGGGCCAATGAGTGCGAGATTGCACACTTGAGCACATTTCTGTTCCCTAGTATGAGCCAGTCTGGGGAAGAGGAACCCTCTACACTCATGTCCACTTTGGTGCCTTGAGGAAGCAGGTCAGCCTTGGCCCAGTCCTGGCATGAGGGTGGCTTGTCCCTTGGTGTTCAACTCCCATCTCCCTGTAGGCCAGCATGCCAGCCTTGCAGTAGAAGCATTAGGAAGAGAAACAGAAACCTACTAATAGCTGATGAGACAGGTTTGTCTTTCTCTGATGTGTTATTCTGAACAAGCTAGAAAGTAGCCTCAGATCCCATCCCAGCGCCTAGACCCCCACTGAGATGCATTTGGCACGGCATTTTTGTGGGCATCTCTCTGACCAGGCTCTGGGGGGTTGAGCTGGACCACAGGCGTGCTTGCATGAGCACCTTGTGCAAGGGAGTGATGGGAGTGAGGGAGCACCCCACCCTCACCCACCTCCTCCCAGGCACCTGCACCAGCTGGGCATGAGCCTGACCACTGGCTACTGCTCTGCTCTCCCTTGCTGATGCACACTGCCAAGATCATCTGCAACTGAGGCACCAGCCAGCCCCAAGACTGACTTGGGGAGCAAAGGTCTGGGCTGAGACCAGGAACGTGTCTGGGAACCTATGCACCCAAACCTCTGTATCCCCCTTCTGCTCTACTCTTTGTACATCTGCCTGCTGGGATTTAAGGGGCCAGGTGTGAATGTGGGTGTGAAAGTGAGTGATCCTATATGGTGTGCCACCCTCAGCCCAGTTGCCCTCCGTGCAAACTGGACACCTGCACATGCCTGACCCTAGGTGCACACTCACCTTCTGTGGTCCGCGTCTTGCTCTCAGGTGTGCTGCCTCCATGTCTAATGGATGCAGGAGGCTGTTCCTGCCCAAGAGCCAAGGCCAACAGAGGAGCCATCATGCTAATCTGTGGTCATGGCACAGTGTGGAGAGGTTATCAGGGCTCAGCGTGAGGCCAACTGTCTGGCTACAGCCCTGACACTGCTTTCAAAAGATGGTCCCCTCCACTCAGTTCTTCTCATGTTTGCCTGCACCTATTCACTGACCCTTAGGCCTCCTAACCCCTGACCTTTAAACTGAGGTTTGGGAGGGAAGGCTAGTGAAGTTTATCTCTAGATCTGAGAAGGTACCATGTAGGCTGTGGAGGGGGCCTCCCTTCCCTTCTGCAGGACCACCCTTGACTCACCCCTGACTTCTTTCATCCTGAACAGGCCCACAGTGGTGAAGGAGGGGCAAAGAAGGCCCCAACTCTGGCTTTCGGAAGTGGAACCCAGCTGGCAAGGTAAGGGGGCTAAACTAACCTAGCTCACCCAGCCTAACCTCCATGCTACTATCTGGTTCCACCTCTCTCTGGAGGATCAAGGGGCTTCCTAAAATGACCATGACTGGGTTCAAAGCTCCCTGCAGGACCCCTTCTCCTCCAAGGGCCACACCCTGACTTTCAGGAGACCCCCTTCTAGGGCTTTGGCTGATCAATTCACCCCTACCTCCACCCCTACCTGTTTCCCCCTCTTCATGGGAAGTAGACCTCTCTGCCCACAGGATCAGAGCCACTTTCCCACAGGGATCAGGCATCCTTACTCCTGGGCATTATACCCCTGCCACAAGGATCTGCTCACTTTCTTCCTCCTGTCCACCTGTGTCCTGGTTTGGCACCTGCTCTGCGCTTCTGACTGGAGCCAGAGGTCAGAAGGACAGAATTTTGGCTCTAGAATCTCCCCCCCGCCTGGAGTTCAGGCCTGGAGGCACCTTCCTTGGGAAACGTAGGTGGGAGCGGCTGCCAAAACCCCTCCTCTGGCCCTCAGAGGCCCCGCCCCTGCCTTCCTCACGGCCACGGCGGCGCCATCGCTGCTCGCGGTCCCCCCGCTGGGGGCCCTCTGCCGCTGGGCCGAGGCCGGAGCCCCCGCCGTGGCCGCCACCGCCGCCGCCGCCGCCGCCGCCAGGGAGGGGGAGGGGGTCATAAATAACCCCCGGGGCGGCGCGGCCCGGGCGGTGCAGACGGTGACCCGAGACGTCCCCGGGGAGCGCGCGGGGGCGGCCCGCAGACCCTGCTGCCCCCAACCCGGGGTCGGCCAGCCTTGACCGCCTCTTCTGGAGCTCTCCGACCCAGTCCACAACTGGCGCTCCTGCCAGTAGCCTCCCTCCCATCCTGGAGTGCCTGCCTACCCCCATCTCCAGACTGTGCCCCTTAGAGCCCCTTTTCATCCATTCCTTCACCAATCATTTATTGAGCACCAGATGTGGAGCCCCAGGGAGAGGGATCCAGAGGTGAGGCTGGGAGATGCAGAGGAAAGCAGTGTGTCTCTGAGATCTCAGGTGCATCCTTGGGCCTGCTCCCTCAGCCTAGTCTTCCTGAGCTCATCCAGGGTGACTGTCAGGGTGGGAGAGCAGGCCCAGACATGCCAGGCACGGGAAGGCATGCAGGGACAGACCACACAGGTGTGAGCACAGCTGACACGTCTGTGAGGAAGTACATCCTTGTGTACACATCCGTGTCCTCAGGCAAGCACCCGAAGCCAGCAACAGATACATACAACAGGGTACATTCTCAAAAGCACATGCGCAGGACAGGGGCTTGCACGGATGCTGACATCTTTTTTTTTTTTTTTTTTTAAAGATTTTATTTATTTTTTTGACAGAGAGAGACATAGCAAGAGCAGGAACACAAGCAGGGGGAGTGGGAGAGGGAGAAGCAGGCCTCCCGCAGAGCAGGGAGCCCGATGTGGGACTCGATCCCAGGACCCTGGGATCATGACCCGAGCTGAAGGCAGACGCTTAACGACTGAGCCACCCAGGCACCCACGGATGCTGACATCTTGACCACAAACGTGCACGGACAGTGTATGTGTTCACTTACAGCACAGCCAGAGGAAGGACACCAAGACCTGTGCAAAAACATCCGTAGACACACAGGCCTGCACCATGGGCTCCATTTGGATACAGCTGTCATATCTAAGACAGCATGGCTGGGGCAAGGGTCTGGTTTAGGAAGGGTTAACCTGTGAGGTCAAAGGTCAGTGGTGAGTCAGCTGGGGCTCCCCCAGACTCCCTGCAAGAGTGGCCGGAGCTTCCGGGAGGAATGTGTCTGTTTCCAGCTGCAGGTCAGACACAGGAGGGGCTGCCCTGCGAGGACATGCCTTACCTTTGGCCAGCCATGAGCTGGCGGCAGGCCATGCCGTTTCCGTCTCAGGAGTAGAGATGTTTCCGAGCCCAGTCTGTTCACTGACCTTAACATATGCCATTTAAAGGAGAAAGAGATAGGACCTAGGGTCAACCTTACGTTCTCCCGTGGGTGTGTAGACTTGGGGCACCCACAGGGCACACGCTGCCGGAGAGCACTGGTTACACGATACTCACCTGCTGTGTTACACAGAAGTTGGGACACACACACACTTTCTCAGACACAAATACAAGGACACAAATGAGCTCAACACACAGGGTGCGCTGGGTACACTGATGTCGTACAGAGGAAGTTGCTGGTCTGGCAACATGGGTCGGAGTCTGGCTACCACTGGCTCTGCTTGCTTGGCCCCTCTTGAGGAGGGACGAAGACACCCACTTGCTGGCATCACTGGGGACAGAGAGCAGCACCTGCCCCAGAGCAGCCTGCCGGGGGCTGTGGACCCTTCTTGGCCCGGGTTATGCTGAGGTAGGCTGACACAGGTGGTAAGGACGGCAGACTCTGCAGGGGCCTGAGATTTGGGTCCTCCTGGCTAGCCACTGAGTGACCCAGTCTTCTCTGCCCTTCTTTGGACCTTAGTTTCTCCATCTGAAAAATGAGATAGGGGCTCAAAATCTGTGGGTTCCCTTTGGCTCAGAGGAGAGCAGTCAGGGTAAGATGTGGCTATATGTGCCCTGGTCACCACAGTGAGGCAGGCCTGGCACACCCTAGATGCTTTCTCCATAAATGGGCCCAGAGTGCAGGACCTGGGGGGTCCACTCCAAGGTAGGGCCAAGTAAAGGGCAGGAGCAGAGTCTTCCAGGGCCCCTAGGGACAAAAGAATCTATCCCAGTGAATGGGCATGAGGGCTGGTGTCACCCCTTTCTCTCCCTGTCGACATTGCCAGCCTACTGCCTGGACATGGCTTGGGGTGGAAACGGGG